TACCGACTTACTTCTGGAAAAAAAAAAAAAAATTTCTCATAACTTAAATTTACCCGACTGAAATTTGTCAAATACCCGACATGCCGACAAAATTCGTAAAAAAATCCACTGTAACTTGAAAATTGCCTTCTTTTGGGGGAAAAGGAGAGGAAGGTTAACACCTCCTCCCCCGTAAAATCTTCTCTGCTTAAGTTAAGTTACTTAAGACATGATCGCAACAATAATCAACCATGTTATTGATATTGTCTGTTTTCAATTGATGTATCAGGCCTTGCTTTAAATAAAAAAGTGCTTAACGCATTAGCTTACGCGATATTTTGACGTCATAAAATTATCTTTATTTTTTTTTTATAGACGTTAAGTGTTTAAACTACCGCAATAAATAAATAACCGCTAACTAGTTCAATTTAACAATTAACTCAAATAACTATAAAAGTTTTTAAAGTAAATTTATAATAAAAAGTTTGTTATCTTATTATTAATTTTAGTTCAATATTATTTAGTAAAATATATATATACATTTTAATTATTTCTGAAATTTGTTTATAAATCGTTATTGAATAAAAAATAATGATTTTTTTTTATTTTTAAAAATTTCTGGAGTAAACAAAAAATATTAACATTGATAAACAAAAACCTATGTTAATTATTTACACAGCGATTTTGTTTTGACTAGCAAAGAATAATTTAGGAAAGAATATTTTTTTAAATTTATCTTGCTTAGCGTTTCATAAAAATATAAAAACGTTTTGTCTGCTTTTAGTATATTTTTGATACATAGTTTAGAACGCGTTCGCCAGGAATTTAATTCATAAATTTTTTATGTTATTGTAAAAATGTTTTACATTTTAAACAAATCACATAGAAACAGAGCTATAGAGAAAAATCGCTTTTAACTATTAAATCTTTTTTTTTTTTAAATTTTATGAAATTAAAAAAAAATTAAATTAAATATAAAAGTCTTAATTATGCGAACTCTTTTGTTAATTATTCTTAAAACAAAAAACAAATACTTCTCCCCAAAACTTTAATCGTTCAAATTTAAAAAAATACTCAACTAAAATAATATAAGTATATTTAATAATTTGAATCGTATCTGTTTATAATAACCGTTCATAAAAATTTATTTATTAAAAATTAAGTTCCTTGACTTATAAACAAACTCAAAAGTATTTTCATTCTACGTATTAATTAGAAGAAAAAAAATTATTTTTTTTCTTTGTTTGTAAGCAATTTAACTTAATAAAATAAAAAAAGAATAAATGTGAGGTAATCTTTGTTAAGAACAAATATAATTTATTTCTTAAACTATATTTTTATTTTTATTTATATATCAACTTAAATTAAATATAGTAACATGTTAAAATATTTTAACATGACTTGTGTTATTTATAAACCATAGGGCAGCTGCCCTAACAGCACAATTGTTTTAGGACTATATTTTATTTTGATGAAGATCACATAACTTACATTCGATTTTAATAACGTAAGTCTTCTCTGTTTCTGTGATCATCGCATCGGCAAAGTCCCAAGATTTAAAAGTTTTTAAAGGAAATCTTTTGTCCTTCAAAATACAATCCATATTCGAACTTTAAACAATTTAGAGAAAATAGAAATATAAAATGTTTTTATATACTAGTTTGTCTTGTTTTATAAAGAAAAATACATATTCATTAATAAAAAATAGAGACTGTCATTAAACTAAAACGTGTTTTAGTATTTATTTAACGGAATCTGTAATGTGCGCGTGCATAATGAAACCTCCATTATATAAATATATTCAACGTAATATTAGTGTCATCAGCGGATGTTATAGTCTACTCGTGATTTCCTTACCTTATAATATAACTTGATCTTTGAAAAAAACTTATTGAATCGCACGCAGAAGAAATTTAACAAATTGTCTTCATTCAAAAATTGCGAGCAACAGGTAATTTTTTTTTTCTGTGCTGGCCCCCTCCCCCCTCATAACTTAAAAGCAAAGGTATCTATATACCTTTAACTAATAAGAAAAGCAAAGAGTAATAATTAATGAAGTAATTTTTAGAAAAATACAAATAGATTGTTCATTCATTGGCACATTTTTTTAAATATCTTCAAAAAATGTCTTGATATTTTTGTTATCATGATAACAAAAATATTAAGACGTTTTTTGATATATTAAAAAAATGTCAACCCTTAATTACAAATTTTTTGCAAATGTTTTTTAATATGAATTTCGTAAAAAACTCTTAAAAAATTTATATTACAAAAAACATTTATATTCTGTATTAATAAGTTTGAAATATAGATTTTTAAAATGTTTTTTACTGAAAACTTTAAAAAGTTACTACTTTTTATTAAAAACATTTGCAAAAAATTTGTAGTTAAGGATTGACAAACAATTTTTCATGTTACTAAACATTTGAATAAAAAGTTAAACGTAAAATTAAATGTTATAAAAACGTATGATATGTCGCGATAAAAAGTTACTTCAATTATTTTTAACGTAATTTTTTTTTCAAATAAATATTTTTTACATATCGTTATTCAAAAGACAATGTGGTTTTTTTAAAAATTAATTACTTCTTTTATGTTACCGCTAATTTAAAAGTTAAAAAATGATAAAAAGTAGCTTAACCAAAACAGCTCCACGCGTACGTAAAAATCGCTTAAGGCGTACGTAAATCACTCTAGGCGTAACGCTTTAAAACAAGGCCTGTGTATTATATATTTTTTTATTATTAAGTGCTGTATTGTGTATTGTCTAGTGCTACTATCTTTTAGTTGTGCAGTGTTCTTATGGTATAGTAATATTTTTTAGAAGTTTTTGGTCTTCTGTTTAAAATAGAAATATAGTAATCCAAGTTTTGAACTCCCAATCAAGTTCTAGAACTTTATTGGGAAAAAATAGAACTTTATTGAAAAAAAAAGGAAAATAGTACTCGAGAGTTTGAGGCATGTAATTTGATTCGATTTAGATAGAATGCGTTTTTTTTTTTTTTTTTTTTCGGAAGTAATGTAATAAAACTATTTTTTTTAATAAACAGTTTCCTATAATAAAAATTATTGCTCGGTTCTAGAACTTTATTGGGGAAAATTAGAACTATATTGAAAAAAAATAGGAAAATAGTAGTCGAGAGTTTGAGGCATGTAATTTGATTCGATTAGATAGAATGCGTTTTTTTTTTTTTCGGAAGTAATGTAATAAAACTATTTTTTTGAATAAATAGTTTCCTATAATAAAAATTATTGCTCGGTGTATCTAAGCGTTATTATTTTAAATAAAATCTAAACGTTTTATCTAAAATTAAATTTGTCTTAACTTTTATGTTTAGTTATGTTAGAAACTGACAATGTCAAACATACGTGAAGTATACAACAAAAGTTTGAAAAAGTCAGCAAAAACTTATACCTGGCAGTATGTCTGCGAACTTGATGTGTTCAAAGATAATAATCAGTTCGCAGATTTTGAAAATGCAAAAATATTGACAAAATGCAGCGGTGAGGTCTATGTCTGCGCAGAGAACAATGTTCATTCTTGGTTGTCCAGTAATTTTGAATACAACATTTTTGACACACTTAACAAAGAGTTTTCTTCAAAAAAAAAATGAAGAAACTTTCATGGTGGGTTTAAAAACCTTTCCATATTCATTTATTTACCAATGTGGAAAATGCTTCTTTAAAGAAATGGACTTTGGTGTTTCCATTAAAGTGCAAGACTATTCTTACGAAATATTCCTAGCAGGTGAGGTGGTTTTTCACTATGAAAGATCGCTAAATAAACTTGTTGCAACAGGAGTACATCATTTGATTAAATATACTAAAACAAAATATTTTGTGGGAATTTTTTTGCATACGAGTATAAACGTGGAAGATTTTTATCTTCAAGTTATAGTTCTGGGTAGAACTCCAGATAATCAGTTCTGTACTGAATCATTTCAAAAAATAAACAGTGCACTGAACTCTAAAGTAAAATATGAAAGATGTAACATTTTGCGAAAGAAATTTGCCTAACTCGTCTTTTGAAATATCAGACAAAGAATTCCTGAATGATTTAGGCATTATTGCATTGCAGAACATAAAAATTACTTCGCAACAAATATGTGACAATGAAAGTTCAACTTTAAACTTTAACGTCGAAGAATTCGGTTTAAGAAGAAATGTAGTAGTACATATTACCAGTTATCAATTGAAAGTTTTTAAAGAACTTCATCACAGCTTTTTTACAGGTTATCATACTTTGTGTGAAAAAGAATAATGAAATGAATACTTTTGAAACAGTCTTGATAAATATCTAAAAGTATTTTTTATACACAGAAGAAACTTTTATAAAAACTAACTTAATCTTATTAACTTAAAAAGATTTCTTGACTTTATTTACATAATAATATAAAAAAAGAATTAAAGTTTCACAATGATATTTTTTTCATAATTTCTGTAACTAGATTGTCTGTTCACTCTGTATTAGTGCTGAGCATTATTTTGACCAATCCGGATAACGGATTACAATTATTTAATCCGAATTTCGGATCAATCCGTTTTATCCGGATTCACGGATCCTATCCGTCGATTTGGATTGCGGATTTTCTCGTTGATTCGGATTTCAAATCCAATCCGGCTTCATTGTTTTTGAGGTAATCAGCTATTTTTTCATTATTATCAAGTATCAACCTAAATAATTCGAATTACGATCTCAGATCTTTTGACAATCTATTCAATATAAGACCCCTAATAACAAATACACCAGGGTTTTCGAGTTTTTCACAATTTATTATTAGATACCCACCTATGAAGTAGGAACTAGGAATTAGAAAGTAGCAAGTAGGTATTTACTATTTTTATTAATAAAAAAAGGAGATGTTATGTGCGTATTTGTATGCAATTCATAGCCAAATCTAACCTCATGTGGTTTTAAAATAAAAAGTCAAAGGTGTTAAAGTTTATATTATTGATTTTTCTAATCAATTAATATATTGTTTTCATTTCTTCAAGTTATAAAAAATAAAATAATATATAAATTATAATTTAGCATTATGTGAAAGAAATATTAACCATTTAGCTGTTTCACCAGCCAGACAATTTCTTTTTGAAGTTATAATGTTTCCTGCAGTGGAAAAAGCTCTTTTAGACGGAGTAGATGTTGATGGTATACATAAATATTTTTTGGCAAGTTTCGAAATCATTGGGTATCTTTTGCTATTTTCAGCCCACCATGTTAATGGACAAGCATTTTTGTTGATACAATTTTCTCTTAAATATTTTTCAAGCTCATTTTGTTGATCAAAACATCTTCACCACTGTCATTTTGGGAAAATAAAATATCTAAAGCAGATACCATGGAGCTTGGCTGATTAATAGAATCATTAACTGAAGAATCTTCATAATTTAATTGATGCATAATAAAATCTTTTAAGGTAATTAAAATATCACTTTCATTATCCAAAACATTTTTATAACGTGGGTCTAAAAGTGAAGCAATATTTAAAAGAAATATAGAATCACTGTGCATTTGACTAAAAAATCTTGCTTTGAACTCTTGTGACAATGTTTCTTTTAATATTTTAAGTTTATGTAGGTCAGATTCGTTGGGAGTCAAATAGTGTTGGGCAATGCTTTTTAAAATAGGATGTACAGTTGATATTGTTGGAGTTGTTGCAGATGACAAGACTTTAGTAACAAGATCGAAAGGCTTGAGCACTTTTACTAACTGTTCCAATAGCTCCCATTTACTTTCGCTGAGTTCCAGTGATATTGCTGTTGTTCTAGTAGTGGTATTACGATCATTTAAAACTATGCTTATACATTGTCGAGACTCAATAAGTCGTTCAACTATTGCATAAATTGAATTCCATCTAGTTTTAACAGACTGAATTAATTTTTTTTCTGGCATTTTTAATTTTTTCTGTACTACTTGGAGTGCTTTGATTGCTACTGTTGAGTGTTTGAAATGTGAAACGATTTTAGATGCAGTAACTAGTATTTGTTTTATTTCATTTTCTTCCAAGCCTTTCTTGAAACATAACTGTAACAAATGATCGAAACATCTCCTACCTGTAATGTTTGGAGCCATTGCAGTAACGGCATTTTTAATATTTACCGCATTGTCATGCACAACACATATAGTTTTTGTTTCAATTTCTCATTCCTTCATAATATCAACTATATTGTCTTTTAAATTTATGCTGGTATGCTGCTCATCCATTAATTCAGTTGTAATAATATAATTGACTATTTTCCAGTTTTTAGTTATGCCATGTGCAGTAACTGATATGTAAGATTCCATAGCTTTACTTGTCCAACAGTCAGTAGTTAGTGCTATTGAGTCTATTTTCTGTATTTCAGTGGCTACTTTATGTTTTTTTGTCTCATACAGTCCTTGAATTCTTTTTTTGATTGTAAACCGACTTGGTATTTCATAATTTGGTGATATTTTATTCATAAACTCAACAAATCCAACACCATCCACTGTTGAGAGTGGTAGCATATCTTTGGCTATAAATTTTACAAGACTGTCTGTTATTTGCTTTTGTCTTTTAACTGATACAGATGGTGAAAAGAACATCTCTGTTATCTTTGGCTGCGTTAATAGTCCTATGTTTCTAGATTCTGATACTCCTGTTGTAGATGTTGATGGTGAACAGCTAACTTCAGTATTAATACTATTATTATCATAAATATCAGCTGTCTCATTTGATGATTTAGAGCTATTTTGCAGATCATCATTAATGTCATCGTCATCATTTTCTAATAATCTAAAAACATAATTCAGTTTTAAATTTAAATATATAATAAAATATTTTGTATTTTGTACTTTAGAAACTCCAAAGTAATATTTTAAATTAAAATTTTAAATTAAAACTTTTAATATCTATTTGGATGAGTGTAATATATGTTAATATACTTTAATGTAATAGTAGCTTAAAATATATTTAATAATTATTTAAGTTTATTAATAAATTTGAATACATACAAATTACAAATCATATTACAAAGTATAACTAATATTATAACTTATATAACATGTTAAATACATTAAAATAATTTATGGACCATATTAGTAATGTCATTACATCCAAATAAAATAATTACCTTTTTGTTGGTTTATTACGAGAAAGTCCATCACTTAAATTGCGTTTGGTTCGCATGTGATTCCATAATATGCCTGGTATACAAATACAAATACAAATTAATTACAATTAAAAGTAGCTATTTAAAAGTCATCTGCTCACAGTACACACATGACAGTATGACACACACACACAATCAATGATTTAACTTAATCAGTAAGTACTACTTACTGATTAAGTTAAATCATTGCTACTTACTAAGTGGTTGCTTTTATTTAATATACGTGCAAATGGTAATAATAGTTACTAAATAAAATAAATAAAAGTCACTTTCCTATATTATAGATATTTAAATTACTGTTTTATATTTCTAGAATAAAATCTTTCCATTTTTATTATAATTTACCTGTACTGCCTGAAGTTTTGAATGATTTTCCACAGGCATTGCAAAATACTAAGTGCTTGTTATGTTCTTCAATACCTTTGGTAAAACTTGTCCAAATTTGAGACGATTTTAATAGGTAAACTTTAAAATAATCAACAGTTTAATAACAAAATATGATATATATAAATTTGATGTTATAATACAAATTACGATACGATACATAATAAGTACTAATGTAATAACAAATTACTCAGCTGTAAACTAGTAACTAGTAGACTACAAAAAACTACAGAACAGTGAGTACTGAAAATAAATAACATTGCCTCATGACTGACGACTGTTATTAAATATTATTAAAAGTACAATGTAATTACTTAATGTAAATACTTTAAATTTTCACCAAATGTTTATATTAGTGTTGAGTTTTTAAAATTTTAAATTTAATTTTTCCAAGTATTTTTTTTTTTGTGGATAAACCCGATTAAGTCGGGCCGATTTATATCATAATCCGGATTGGGTATGTTAATCCGGATTAAACGAATTGTTACTTTTGTTTCAATCCGGATCAATCTGGTGATCCGGATATGGGTTGATCCGGATTTTGTGCTCACCACTACTCTGTATTGGGCAGTATTCTTTACAATACTGTAAACTTTAGCTGAAAATTAGTCAAAAAATGAGACTCTTTTTTTTTTAGACAAATATTTTTTCCATATCCACTCTCCCTTATATTGTATATTCATTTATAAACATTTCTTAATTTATGGATTCTAAATTCCTATCTAAATATAAGTCGTATTTCCCTAAGACGGCAAAGTTCACGCAAAGGTTCTTTTTGTCAAAACGATACTCCGCGATCGCTTCCCACTTAAAATTATTTTCGCTCTCTTTGCCACGCCATCAATAAATATAAAGGCAACGCGTTAACTACTTGTGTTTTTAATATGAATATTATTTTTAATGGTTTTATAGTATAATAAGAAAATAATGCTACGGAATCATTCGTAAATGATGCAATGCTAATTTTTTTTTTAAAAACAGAAGTATATATATATATATATATATATATATATATATATATATATATATATATATATATATATATATATATATATATATATATATATATATATATATATATATATATATATATATATATATATATATATGTATGTATATATATATATGTATACATATATATATATATATATATATATATATATATATGTATATATATATATATATATATATATATATATATATATATTTATATATTTATATATATATATATATATATATATATATATATATATATATATATATATATATAAATATATATATATATATATGTATATATATATATACATATGTATATATATATATATATATATATATATATATATATATATATATATATATATATATATATATATACATATGTATATATATATATATATATATATATATATATATGTATATATATATATATATATATATATATATATATATATAAATATATATATATACATATGTATATATATATATATATATATATATATATATATATATATATATATATATATATATATATTTATATATATATATATATATATATAATATATATATATATATATATATATATATATATATATATATATATATATTATATATATATATATATATATATTTATATATACGGTAATCACAAATTTAATAATTTTGTTTAGATGTGTTATATAATTTATAACACAATAAATTATGATATTAAAAATAAGGTAGGATATGAGGACAACGATTAAAAAATAAATTTTCTTAAGGAAATTTAGATGTTTGTTGATTTTGTTTCAAAATATTATAATATTTGTGACAAAAAAGTAAAGATACTAATGCATCAAGTGTCTATTGAACCTAATGTGTACATTATTGTAAAGTAGGTTCTTACATTTTTTTTTTTTTTTTTTTTTTTGTTTAATGACTTTTCCTTATTGAGCACTTTTTCTCAAATTAGATTCTCATGAACGGATACAAGCTCTTGTCAAATTATACATTATACATTAGTCATCGTAAATAATAAATTAAGAATTAATTATGTGTGAAATAGAGTCCAAGTTGAAGTCATTAATGACTTCTATTTAGCTCTTAATTAAAACTGCTTTTAACTAATAAGGCTTTTAATTACAATTGTTCTTATTATTATTTTAATCTATAATAACCATTTAATTTAGGTTGATTGAGGTTATTATTCATATTTGTTTTTATTAAAATTTATTTATAGTTATATTTGTAGATAAATGTAATATATATATATATATATATATATATATATATATATATATATATATATATATATATATATATATATTTTAGGAGATGCTTGAAAAAAGTAGTTCTTAATATGGTTGAAAACCTTAGCATTAAGCGAGCCAATGCGTTTTACTTTATTGAATCGACAAAAGGCGTGTAAATCACAAAAAAAACAAATAATATTTTTCACATTTGTTTTTAATGTATTTATTAATAGCTATTATTTAAATATAAATTCATTTTGCAACACGTTTTTTAATTTTGCATAACTTTTATTATAATACTTTTTGGTAAATCCCACATTATTTGTGGAGAACATCGCATATATTTGATCCTAAATAGCATAAAGTAGCTAATACCAGATAAATTTAAGCCTCTCTGAAAGCTTCCATGATTAATTTTGATGTTTCATTTATATGGTATTTGCTACTTTAAAGCATTTGAATTAGAATATGTGGCATTTAAGATCTATAAAACATGTGGTATTTTCAACCTATAACCTGTGTGGAATTTCCCATATATAACCCAGATTCGCTGACCGTCAGGTCAAGTTATTCTGCTACTGGTAATATGTAATCTAGTACAACTTGCTGCATGTTAACGTCAGGAAGGGCGTTCGGTTGTAAAAGATTGCTTTAACTCTTTCATAATGGCATTTATATGTAGCTATCGAGAGCAATTCAAACCGCACAAATGCGAAACATGAATGTAAAAATTACAACAAAAAAACAAAACACATTGGACAAAATAATAATCCCCATATGGGTAACATATGAAAAAAGCCTACGCGTATCCTATGTGGGATTTACCATATGGAACTCATGTGGGATTTACCATATGGAACCCACATGGGACAAAATAATAATCCCCACATGGGTTACATATGGAAAAAGCCGACGCGTATCCTATGTGGGAATTACCATATGGAACTCATGTGGGATTTACCATATGGAACCCACATGGGACAAAATAATAATCCCCACATGGGTTACATATGGAAAAAACCCACGCGTATCCCATGTGCGTTTTTTCACTCGGTTGTGTTTTTTGATTGTTCTTAAATATATCAACTTGTTTTGTTGTTGATGAAGGTGTAAACATCCAGTCTTCAAAAATATTTGGATTGAAAGGATATATTCCAGTTTTGCAAAAGCATGCACAGCATTTGCTAAAGCTGCACTTTTTGAATATGCATTGTTTAAAAGTCCAGGAACCTGGAAATGGTCACAACTCTACCAGGATGTTGCCTCAGCCATGTCTGAATCTCTTGATCATAATATGTCTGTAATGGACCAAAAAATCCAACATCAAGTGGTTGGACGCGATGCGTACAGTGTGCTGGAAAATAAAATATTACAACAGCGTTTTCTTTTGCATATTCCAAAACTGCCAAGGTTTTATGAGTAAAGTGGCCATCTAATAAAAGTAGTTTTTTGTTAGTTTTTGATGCATTAGAGCGGTGCACAAAATGTTCAAGCCATTTTAAGAAAATCTCACTAGTCCTCCACCCTTTTTGCTGGCAAAATGATTTACTGCCTAATAGAGCGCTATCCATCAACTCATTTTTTTAATCTTTTTCTAGGAAATATGAATATTGGTCGTACAAATGTTCCTATTGCATTCGTGCAACATACTACAGTCAATTGCCGGCCACGTTCAGCACTACTGAGTGTCCTTTTGGTTTTCTTTCTTTAGTAGCTAATATTTTCTGTAATTTTTTCTGCCAAAAAACCTTGTCAATTATATGCATATTTAATTCTTCTTCGATGGAATAACTTAAAATTGTTCTTTGAGCTCCCAAACCTGTTTTCTTAGAACCTTGGTTATCTTTATATCTTTAACGCAACGTTGTCGCTGGAACATTAAAAGTTTTGGCAGCTAATAACCT